ATGGACCTCACCCACACCACCTGTGCATGAATTTTGTGCACTGGCCCTGTAGTTTTATTATAATTAGTCCTGAACCTTAGTAAGGTTGCAATGAGGTCATGTTGTCTTCCTTTGACTTTGCACCAAGACTGGCTGGTTCTGAACGTAGATGGTCCATGGCTGCTGGGCTGCCTTGTTATGAGGTCAAATCCTGGGTTCAAAATAAGACCACCAGAGGCTGATGATTAATTAAAAATGCAGGCAAGGATTTATTGAAATATCTGGCCAGGACAGCCACGAGAGCACCACAGGCAGGTGGTCTCCACACAACTGCCCCGTTTCAGAGGTAGGCAGTCCCTTTTAAAGGTTCAAACCACATGAATTTTTCTTTGTTCTAAATTCTAAATACTAAAGAATATGTTCTAAAGCAGGGGTCCTCAAACTTTTTAAAGTGGGGGCCAGCCGGACTATATGAACTACTAATTCCTACTGTAACACCTCGGCTGCGCTCACTGCCCAAAAAACCTGGCGGGCCAGATCAGACTCCTCTGCGGGCCGCATGTGGCCTGCGGGCCGTAGTTTGAAGACGCCTGAAGACTGGGGTCAGCCCACAGGGTGGTTGCTAATCATATCCTGCTGGACATTGGAATGTGGCCCTATCTTGCAATAGCCAATAACACAGAAGCAGAGCTCAGAGGTTAGTCTCTAAAGGTTATCTACAGTTTCTATCCCTGAAGCTATTGAGTCACTGGGAATCAATCCCTGTGGTTCTGGTCCCAGGCAAGGAAAAATTGCCTTAGCCTCCAGGTCTCCACCTGGAAGCTGAGGTAAGTATTCCGTGTTTAATCAGGCAGGAGCCAGACTTAGCAGGGTTAAAATTCAAACAGCAGTTTTTACCAAAGTATGATTGCTACTATATTTCACTGGGACCAGGCTATATTTAGAAGACCTTATGAATAAGTGAGAAGAGAAGGCAATAAAGATGAATTACACTGTGATATGGTAATACTTTCAAAAATAAAGATAAATTAAAAATAATTGCACTGAGATATGGACTCTCTTCTATTTATTTTACAAGCCCAGAACAGAACTCATCCCCAAAGGATGCTATCCTGCTTGGTCTACACTGTAGAGTCTACAGCCTTCTACAGCTTGAGCTCATGAATCAGGGGTCAGTTTGTCTCACCAAAAGTCAGTACACCAGAACAATGCTTCTCAAACTTTCCTATACATTTAAATCACCTGGAAATCTTATTTAAATGAACATGATTCAATTCCTTGAACCTAAGATTCTGTATTTCTAAAAAACTTATAAGTGATGCTAAGAAGACTATATTTAGAATGTCAAAGCCTGGAGCATGCCCTTCTCACTAAGAATTTAAGGTCATGTCTTAGGCCAGTATTTTCCCTGACAAAGATCAACTCAATCTTTATTGAACCTAATGACTTTCTGCATCTAAGATAACATACCTGTGGAATGTCAGGGTAACTTGTAACTTTCCTTTGTCCGGACCCTTCAGGGCCCAAAAAGGGCACCAGGGTGGAGACCACAAATTCCCTCATTGTAACTGTTACCCTGTTAATTGTTAACTATCCTGTACCCACCTAAGTAAAAGAAGCATGAGTCCATCATTTCACTTTTTTTCCAATCCCAGAGGTTCCCCTCCCTCCTCTGAACAACCCAATGCTGAACTCTCTGTTACATACTGTGTATTTTCACTTGCAAGATTTGCTCCTCTGTTTTTTGCTATGTGCTACGTAAGCAGATATTTAATCTTGGATAACGTGACCAGATTTTAACATTGGTAAAGCGGGACACCATTGAGGGGGGTGTTCTTGATTAAAAATTTGGTTTATATGGAGCACCAAAAATTTTCATAGAAATTTTCTATGAAAATTTCAACATAAGTATAATTTACAAATATAATAAATTAAAAAATTATGTATAGTATTATTTTATTCTTTGGCATATTTCTCATTTGAGTGAATTCTAACAACTGATCAGCAATGGGAATTTTGATAAGCAGTTCTCAATAATCAGTTCTCAACAATTATTTGTTATTATTAAAGTTTAACATTATAGCAGGGACCGGTTTGGCTCAGTGGATAGAGCGTTGGCCTGCGAACTGAAAGGTCCTGGGTTCTATTCCGGTCAAGGGCATGTACCTTGGTTGCGGGCACATCCCCAGTGGGGGGTGTGCAAGAGGCAGCTGATCGATGATTCTCTCTCATCGATGTTTCTAACTCTCTATCCCTCTCTCTTCCTCTCTGTGAAAAATCAATAAAAAATATTTTTAAAAAAGTTTAACATCATAAAATTAACAAAAATAATATAAATAGCCACATGGCCGCTGAAAACTGTATATTTCCTTCCCGTTCTCCCACTGTTCCCTAGCTTGTCGTGCATTCTTTCCCAAAATCGGGCTTTTATAAAACACAGTGGGACGCGGGACAACTTGTTAAAAATGGGGACTGTCCCACCAAAACTGGGACGTCTGGTCACCTTAATCTTAGAGGATGTAAGGATAGATTAAACTTTTTCCTAATGTTTTTTCCCAACCATTTCTGTTTATAGAAGTAGCCAGCTCATGCTTCTAATTTTCCCTAGTTCTAGTCTCTGGGCTGGCCCAACTCTCCCTCTAGTGGCCACTTGTTTAATCTTCCTACAGTTACCTAAAAGCTAAAGGCCAGAGATTTTCAACCTTTTTCATCAGATGGCACACAGTAACTCATTACTAAAATTCTGTGGCACCCCAAAAATATGTTATATTTTTTTGTTTATTTAACAAAAGTTAGATATAATTTTGATTCACTCACACTGGACAGCTATCATTGTGTTGGCTGTTGTCATTTTCTTATTTGACATTCTAAGGGAAAAAAGGTCAATGTCTCTGTCTAAATAGTGAGGTAGGTGTTGCATGTTTAAAATTTCTTGCAGCACCAACAGGGTGCCATGGCACACTAGTTGAAAATCACCGCTTTAGACTAGTGTCATTCAAAACTTGGACTGTTATTTATAAAAAAAAAAAACTACCTTTTAAATCTCAACTCTGTTCACATACACATATATAACTAAAATAAAAGTTTCAAAAAATAGTATTTTCTGGCTTTCTGTGGACTTTTCTATTCTGGTCTCCTTTCATTTATGTTAGTTTAACTACTAAGTGGATTTAATAATTTCAAACACCAGTAATTTGCAACACATTAGACTACTATTAAAACTGAATTTATCTTGTTATCTACTAATAGGTATTTTTCCCAAATAGGGATACACACACACCTGTAACCAACGTCCTGATAAGCTGCCCGCCCTATTCCTTTCTTTTATTTTCATACATTTGCTTACAAAGACTTGGAAAATCCCTGCAGTAAGGAAACCTGCTTCACTTTGCAGAACTTAGTGTTTTCTTAATCTGACTATTGAATGAGTATTCCCAAAGTATACATAAGCAACAAAATTAAACAGTTTATGAGTAGCTTCTAAATTATGGGTAATTCTGCTTTAAACCAAGGAAGAAATCCACAAACAAATGCAGGTGCCAAAATGCACAATAAACTGTAGCAGAGATCTGAGGGGCTGGTGTGCACTGACCCCCCTGCAGTGCACTTTAAAAACCATGGAAGATGAATGGACAAATCTGATGTCTATTGTTGTAGGAAATTTGGAGGTCAAGAGGGAAGAACTCTTCTCAAGCTAAACGGGGTGAGCAAGTGGCAATCAGGTCATTCAGAAATAGGGTCCCTCAGTTCACCTCTTCTCCAGATATCCAGATGCTTTTTTTGCACCTGCTATTACTAAATGGTTGTCTCCCAAAATCTAGAAGGAGGGTAAAGTCAATGCAAGAGGAGTCACCAGAGGCCCAGAAGTTTGTGGGTTTGTGCTGATTTAATTCAGAAAAAAAAAATTGCCTAGTTCATTGGTTCACAGGGACTGGCAGAATAATAACAGGATAAATACATAGTTCTCAAAAACAGTTGAAGAGTGCATACATGCTATGAAAGTGGTGAGAGCAATAGTCAGCTGGACAAGTCCTGGAAGTCTGCAGGAAGCATATATGGTATCTGAGCAACATGGCATTATCCCAGGAAGAGAGTCTATGTCAGAAAAGAAGCCAAGGTCAGAATGAGACAGTTAAAAGTCTTGTTCACTGCAGTGAAATTCTGTTAGGGTGCCTTCCTGCCTCCCTTTTTTCTAAGAACTGGGTCTCATCCTCAGATCCTACTCAAGAGGTTAGTGTAGCTCCCATAATAACACCATGTGACTTCTAATATTCCTTACTCCTGCTGATGGAACTGGTACTGGGGTGAATACCAAGTTCTAGCTAGAATACACAGATTTTCTCCTGAAAATGAACGTGTTCATTGAGGATATAGTTAATCTTTTGAGTTCACAATGTATGCCCCTTTTCATGTTCTGTTGAAATCAGTTTGCAAACATTTTGTTGAGGATCCTTACTACTACAATTATCAGGGACATTATCCTTCAGTTTTCTTTACCCGGGGCATCTTTTTCTGGACAGATTTCAAAATGGTTACTTTTCTCTTCATCACAAGAGTCTGTTGGGGTTCTAGAATTAAACCCCTGGGAGAGTGGCAACCTCCTATGACTGCAGACTCCTGCCGTTTCACACTCTCAAACCCCAGTCCACCCTCAGCATCCCACAATGTGTCCCAATCCTATCTAATAAAGAGGGAATATGCTAATCGATCCTTATACCATCACAAAGATGGTGGTGCCCACAGCCAATAAGGAGGGAATACGCTAATTGACTTCCATGCCCTCAAAGATGGTGGTGCCCACGGCCACAAGATGGTGGCACCCAGTTCCTTCAGCCCCACACACAACCTAAATCCTATGTGAGCAGTGCCTTCATACTCATCACAAATTCACTGAGGGGATGTACATTAATCATTGTCCCAGGGGCCTGAATGAAATGAAACAAAGGCACACTTAGATTTTTCCTCACACCCCATAATTTCTCAGTTTTGCTATGAGACTGAAACACAAAGGCACACAAGTATTAAGTAAAACATTTATTGTGACTCTTTGAGACATAAGGCTATTGGGCATTCAAAGCTTGAAATTAAGAGGAGTAGGAGGGAAGGTCATAAAAGAAGAGGTCAGGATTGAGGGGGTGGGGAAAATATCCCTTTTTGGAGTGGGTCTTCACTTGGTCCCACGATGAGCTGAATCCCAATTCAGGTTGCTGACTCCCACCTGACTTAACCCTTAAACTTACAGATATAGGGTAACTTCTCATAGCAGTTATAATCTTGCCATAACAGATATCCTGGAGAGAGAGAAGAGATAAAGTGAATGGGGCTGTTTGATCTTGTGACTTAAAAGAAGACATCCCAGACTTTGGCCTAGGGTTCAAAGCCCTGCCCTCATTGTCACCAGGGACCCACTCCGGGGAAAGGAGACTCAAAGGAAGGAGAGGTGAGAGCAGGTGGGAGAAGACATACATTGCCTTTCCTAGTTGAGGAGGGATCCCTGAAGTACAGACCCAGAAGTGGAAGATGAAGGGATAGAAAGGCTGGCAAGAAGGGAGCTCCTGTGTCTCTTACCTGAGTTTTGAGACAGGCTCCCACAATGGCCAGGGTTTGGGATGCTGGCAGGATCTTTCTCCCAGGCAAAGTAATCCATCACATCTCTATTACTCCACTCCCATCCACCGGCATTGGGCTCAAGACCCTGGAAAGCAGAGAATGGAGCCAGGTAAGGTTGAATGGCTATTGGAATTTTTGCATAACCTACTCTGGTGGGCATTTAATCCCCTACTAAGCAGGCTGGCATTTGTTCTGTTATTCCAGATGTTGCCACAGAGCTCTCCACTGGGAAATTCTCTCTAACAACTTGCTCTTACTGAAAAAATCTCAAAGCCATAATCACAAACACCAATGGGTGCATTTGTAATTATCCTTTGAACCTCAAAGATAATGTCTATTCTATAGGGGAAAATGCATTTTGTTTTCATTTAGGATTCTGTCAGGACACTACGTGTAGGCTCAGTAAACTCAGAGAACTGAATTGCAAAACTTCGTGCACCAATGTTGTAAAAAGCTTCATAAGAGATAGATATTTTTTCAACTGTAAATGAGGATCCTCCACAAAACTCAGCTCTTCTCTTGGCCTTAAGGTCCTACCTTTATCACAAATAAGCCCTAGAACCTCTGAGCACCAGGGCTTTCTAGCATATTTCCCACAGAGGCACATGGGACAGGGAGGAGGCCTGGGTAAAAATAGCAGCTAGAAAAGTAACAGACAGGAAATGTTATCACACCTCTGTGGGATCATGGAGCCCAATCCAGATGTAATAGCAGGTGTTCAGATTTTTCTTGACCAGAGAGGCCAAGAAGTTTGCCTCAGCTCCACTGAGCACAGATGCAAGAGATCCTGAAGGTCGCTTCTGGCAGGCCAACTGTGTGGGGAAGACAAACACTGAGAAAGAGCTTGAAATGTCAACGGGGAAGCTAATGTAGGAGAGAAGAGGTGTGTGTGCAAAAGATGAGGGTGCTGACTCTCACCCCCAAGACATTCTGGAGAATGCAGACCCCTGTCCCATCAAATGTCCTTTCCCTTATCACCTCTTATTGTAAATGTATCCACTCACATCTGCATCAATCCAGGTTTTTGGTGTCCTAAACAAGGCATAACAGTGGGAGCCAAAGGCATAAGAGCCTCTGGGACAGCTGATTTTGGGGAGAGACTCCTCCTTGGTATCTTCACCTGAGGAGGAAGGGCATAAAGGAGAGGGATGGAGGGAAATGAAGAGTGTAAGCGGGTGTTGGAAAGTAACCTTGGGAAGTATCTGTGAGGCAAGTGCTTGGGGAAGTGACACAAACTCCTGACTCCCTCACCTGGATAGTTTAATCTCAAACCAGCCTCATTAAATGAAGGACCATCTCTTTCTGTTCTACTCTTCCCCTTTATTGAAATGTCCAACACTTCCCCCACTCTGAGCTGACTGTTCTCACACTGGGTCCTGTAATCATTCTTGTGTATATCTCACCACTGACCCTTCATGCTTTCTCTCTTCACCTGTCAATAAAAATAAAGTCCACTCACAAAATGAAAACCATTTTACTCCATTGTTAAAGGACCACTGTGGTGCCTCCCACCCTGAGTTGCCTTGAAGGAAGGAGTGATGATGGAGGAATTGCAGACAGTTTCACTTGGTGAGGCTATTCCTCACCATGGCCCCATGGGTCACACAGGAGTCTTCCTGGTCTTGTTGGTTCTGAGCATTCCCCGGGAACCCAGTGCTGCGGGCAGAGAAAGCTCACCTTGCACCTGAGATAGGAGCATCAGGCAGGAGAGCAGCAGCCAGGACATTCTGGGCAGGACCATGGGAGGCAGCATCATGTTTCTGACTTGAAGAAGCAATCAGAGATCATTAATGAAGTATGATCAGAGAGAGGGCAATCAGAGAACCCTCTGTTCTCCATCTTGTCTTTCTTTTAGCTAGTTCCCTATGAGTAAATTGAACTTGAAGACATTATTCCCTATGTGATTCTGGAAATAATTGGGGAATCTGTACACCCTACTTCCCTTGAGACCAATGTTTGTTGAAGTCTAGAATCCTCATTTTCCCAAATGTCTGAGGTGAACCTTTGCCATGGCTCTCACCTTCTCTCAGCTCCCACTTACCTGTCTTGCAGGTATCTGTGATGGTTGGTCAAGTCAGAAAAGACTAGGCTTTTATAAGGGGGTCTGAGGGTGGGGCCTGGAAGCACAGGGATAACGGGAAAGGCTTGGCATTGCTTCAAGGAGGTTTATGCTCTGGGTTACAGCCTCTTTCTGGCAATGATCAGAGCTTTCCTTAGGAACAGGTGAAGTTGGGAGTTTACCATCCCATTCCCGGATTTCTTGATCTGCAAAACTTCTGGGAATGAAGGCAGCTCTTGGCACAAATTCCGAGGTTACATGGTTTAGAAAATGTGTCATTGGTTAGATAAGGAAAATGTCAATAGTGTGTTTTTTAGAAACCTTAGCATATGAATATATATATATATATATATATATATATATATATATATATGTATATTTCTGTATATGGAAGTGCAATTAAAATACAAATAAGGCTTTCTTGATAATTTCATAAACTAATTTAAACATTCAGAGGAAAAAACAAAGGACCATGGATAGTCAACAAATTTCTGAAGATAAACAATGAGGTAAGGAATTTTTTGACAATACAGAAGGCTTTTTATTATAAAATAATACAGATATGGGGATAGCAAATTTGATCAGCCTGAGTGGCTCAGGAAAGCAAGGCAAAATCTGCAATGCCATTTAATTTAGCCTCACATGTTGCCCATGGCCATTTCTGCAGTATCATGATGGTAAAATGTGTCAGCCTATCTGAAATAGCAAGAAATTACACAGCATGAGAGTGTGAATACTGAGAAGTAGGGATCATTGGTGTTAACTTTATAGTTTTCTACCAGAGTTGGAACCTGGTACTTTATCAGTCATGGATCTGAAGTTCTGTGTAAGCATTTTGGTTCTTTTTTCTTTTCTCTGTCTCCTAGGAGATCCTTCTGAATCTATGTGAGACATACCATTTGTATGTGGGAGGAGGAGTGTCACTCGGTTTCATCCAGTAGCTCTCAAACTTCTAATAAACTTGAATGTAGATGGCAGTAGGGGTCAAAGTGTTTATCTCCTACTTGCTAAATAATCTGATTCCTAGGCCCTACCCAGTCTAAATGTTCAAATAAGAACTGATTTATTGTCACTCTCCTGTTTAAAACCTTTTCATGGTTCCTTTATTATGGACTCTCTTGATTACTTCTTGCTGTACACGAACCATTTCAAAGTTAGGAGATTAAAGTAACAATTTATTATCATTTTGCATGGTTCTGTGAGTTGACTGGGTTTACGTATATGGTTTCTCCTTGGGGTTTCTCATGCAGATTGTGGCTGAATCTTTAGTCATCTGAGGGATCAAATGAACTGGACCTCAAAGTTGATGACACATGAGTGGCCGTTGAAGCTAACTATTGGCTGAGGGCTCAGTTGGGGCTGTAGCCCTCAGTTGACATGTAGCTTAGATTTCTTATCACACAGAAGTGTCAGGATAGCATGACTTCTTTCATTGTTGGTCAGATGGCAAAGTCCTCTTAGAATAGGTTAAGAAATGTCATAATGCTTTCCCATCGTACTCTATTGGTCAAGCCTGAGTTTGTATTCATGAAGAACATGATGCACACATCGTGTTTATTTAAAACTTAATCTATTTATTCACAATGGTTTAGATAATTATAGCAGTTGCCTTTAATTGCATAATACCTTAAAGGTTTAGGAGACTTGGATCTTGATGTTATTTCTTCCATTTAATGTGTCATTTTGAATAAATGACTTTATCTTTGCCTCCTTGCCTCTGTGTTTCTTATGTTTTCAATGAGGATGCTGGCCATAGAGGTCTCAGAGGCACATTCTATAATCCTACTATTATTGGCTGGAATGCTGGAATATCAGAAATGTGTATCAAGAAACACTCTGGAAAATAGTTACTGAGCCCATATTAAAATCTCAGATAGTCTTTAAGAAGGCCACCTTTTTTTTTATCTTATTGCACCAGAGGGATTATTTGTGAGCAAGTGTGGAGAAAAGTACACTACCAGAAAACCTATATGGAAACGGAGCCATTGCAGAGAATTTTCACTATATTATTGAGGTAGATGGTTACTATTTAGCTATTAGAAACAACTGATTTCCAAAATGAAAACACATAAGCTAGGAGCTCCTTGCATATCTGCATAAAATATTATACTTAAAGAATCAGCTCATCATATTTTCAATTCAATTTCTTTATTCAAAGTGTAATACTTTGTTAAATTCTGCGAGCTCGGCCCCTATGGTGCTTGAGAAGAAAGAGCACTTTGCTTAAAGAATGTCATATGGCTACTGGCACATGTATGAAAAACGATCAGGGAAGAATTCAGCTATTAAAATATCATATTTTTTCAGAAAATCTTTTTAAAACAGTAAATCTTCATATCTGCTGTTTCTAAGTACTCTTGTTCTACGAGTTAATGTGAGTATAGTAGGGAGACTGTGTACATTAATACTGACATTTGAGCTAAATCAAAGAACAGAATAGGGTCCACATGTTGATGCAGCAATAGGTTCTATGAAAGAGAATGTTCCAAAGGTCAATTTTTAGAAAGCAGTTTACTAAAAGAAAAGGAAAAAAGGAAATCGAAGGATTAAGTGCAGGAAGCAAACATCGGGTAATCTGAAATTCTTCAGATATCTGATTTTGTAGGTTAGAAGATATCTGATTTGACGGTTAGCTAGAACTCAGAGTGAAAGCAAGTTTTGCTCCTTAATCTCTTATTTCATGGTCTGGAGTGGAAAGAAGAGGACTTTTATAGAAAATACTACTCGGGCTGAAACTGGTTTGCTCAGTGGATAGAGCGTCAGCCTGTGGACTGAAAGGTCCCAGGTTCGATTCTGTCAAGGGCATGTACTTTGGTTGCGGGCACATCCCCAGTAGGGGGTGTGTAAGAGGCAGCTGATCGATAATTCTCTCTCATTGATGTTTCTAACTTTCTATCCCTCCCTCTTCCTCTCTGTAAAAAAATCAGTAAAATATATTTTAAAAAATACTACTCAAATCCCAGTGCATAACATCAAAAGCTTTTCTTTTTCATAATTTTTTTCCCTCTTATACATCAACCTTTGTTGCTTAGGGGGGAATGGAGACATGAATAAAATTCTATTTTAACTGAAGGGACAATCAAGAGTTAGGCCAAATTAAAATATAGACACCAACCTGAGTACATATTAGCTAGAAATGGAATAGTAGGTAAGTAAGGTAAAATAATCGAATACCCCAAACTATTGGTCAAGCCAGTGTTTGTATTCATGAAGAACAGAAGCACGCATCATGTTTATTTAAAAATTAATCTATTTATTCACAATGATATAGATAATCATACCATTTGCTTTTAATTGCATAATACCATAAAGGTTTAGGAGACTTGGATCTTGGATCTAGGCAGAAGAGGAATGGTGTGTCTCAAAGCTGAGATTGATCCAAGAGGACTGAAGATAGTCAAAGAGCAGAACTTTCTGAATACAGATTCAAGAGGACATACTCTCGGGAATGGTGAGAATGATGCTTTCAGCCTTCAGAGGGAATTAGATGACTCAACCAGACTAGGGAGCCTGGGTGTGTGGAGTAAAGAAACATGGGGTTGGGATTCCCAATAGGATTCTTAGGCTGGAAATTATCTGAGAGAATATGAATGTTTCAAAGTTATGGTGCTCATTTTCCTTTATTTGAGAAGTTCCCAGAGCATCCAGATACCCATGCTTATTTGTCACCATGCCAGCCCAGACAGTGGGTGAGTGGAAAGGATAATCAGTGAGGCATAGTGATTAAAGGTTGGGCTCTCAAGTCAGACAGACCCATCTCAGCAGGTTGAGGTAGCAATTAAACAAAATAACGAATGAATATCCTTAAAAATGATGCTGGATACATATAGTCACACAGTAAATGACAGCTAATAATAACATTATCTTCAGTGCTTGATAGTGTCTCAATAGATGCTCAATAATTTTCACTGGAATAACATACACGCATAAATATGGTGTGAAGAGGTAAGTCATGGAGCAGTGACTAATCCTCTGAATTATTCATGTAGCTCACCTACGAGATGATCTGACTTTTAACAATGCTCTCTTGAGAACTTCAAGCTAGCAATGCTGCCCAGCCTCTTGCTTTCTCTGCATAGCGTTAAGTGCAATGAAATGGTCTTTATTTTAAAAAGGTGATTAGATGTTACTAATTTAGGAAAGCACTTTCCTCATAAATTCAGTCACCATGGAATTGCCAATGAATTTATGCAGATACTCATCTGATTATAGGAACCAGTTACTCAGCACTACTGGTAATTTTGTGCCTATCACTGAGCCAAGCACTCTACATAAATTATCATATTTAATATCCAGATCATCATTATGAGACAGTTATGCTTACGTTGTTTTTCACACAAGAAAATGAAACTTTGGAGAGGTTGAACTTGGTTGTGATTCTTCTTTAGAAAGAGGATTAAAACCCAAACACTAAAGCTGTGGTCTTAATCAATGTTATTCACTTCTGGATGAAAGATATTTTTTTCTAGAAAAAAAAAAAAATAGAGTATTGGCCTTTGCTGCAAGACCATTAACTTCTGCACTATGTGAGAGGAAATGTTTTTTCTAAGATATTTAATTTACCATTGGGATAGATCTGACATTTAGAAGACCCTAACCTAGAAAATCAGATTTCTGATATAATATGTTCATGGAGAGGACTGAAATTCTGTGACCAATGGCCATGTGTGGTTATTTGCTAAGCTGCATTAACCTAATGGACACTAAGAAAAAGAATGTGTTCAATAGAGTTAACAGATCCTCTTTATGTACACAAGTACAATACTAACAATTCTGTTTCCAGACAAGCACTGATATTGTTCCCGTAGCTATAATAAATCATGCAAATGCTGTGAGCTCCAACTTCTCTTTGATTGAGACAATTGTCTAAATTGCCAATTCCTTCCATTATTTCTGGCATTCAGCAGCATTGAGTTAAATTCTGAAAAGATCCAATTAATTTCTCTTTGACATGATAGGTTTTTGAAAGGTTTCAACTGAGTTGATGGATTCATTAATTTTAAAACATCTTATTTGCTTTCT